CCGGACCCAGGCTGCCCCACGGCTGGAGCGCGGGCTCTGCTCTGGGCGGCCTGGGGGTCCGAAGCTCAGTGCGCCCCGCCCTCTGCGGGGTAGACATGGCTGAGGCCTCGCAGCAGCACCTGTCGCTGCCCTCAGGGCTGGTGGAATTGTGTGCACTACTGGGCGCCCCTCGCGACAGCCTTCGCAGCCTTGAGCAGGTAAGGGGCAGACTAGGAAACGGAGGTAGGGCGAGGGGCGTTGACCAGAGAGCGCTGTCAGGCCCGGCGCATCCCGAACGAGCGCCCTGGTGTTCAGCAGGGCTGGCGCGGGCTTCCGACGGCTGTCACCCCCGACCACCCCCGGCCTCTGGGCTCTCGGTACCGTGGGTCCCAGGCCTTCTGTGGGGATCCCCTTCTGGAAGGGGCCCTGAGTTCCTGCAGGGTGGGTGTCGGTGCGCAGGAGGTCAGAGCAGGTACAGTCAGCTGCCCCAGGGCAGAGACCAGCAGCTGTTCGCCAACGACGCCGAGAGGGGGGCGCTTTCCCTTTTCTCTGGGAACCTTCGAGGCAGAGGTACAGTGGTGCGGAGCGCTCGCGGGCGCCGCAGCGCTTCTGTGTGGCCTTTTGCTTCCTTAGAGTCCGGGCCCACAAGCTGTCCCCCCCTACCTCGAGCAAGGTGCTGACAAGCCGGGACCCCGAAGGCCGAGGTCTAGTGAACCAAATCCTTGCTAATTAGCAGATTAAACGATTTCCTTCATTACACAAAGATTTATTGTCTCCTAAGTAAAGTGTTCTCTGCTGGGCACAGAATAATGTAATCTCAAGTTGTAAACTTAATTATTAGGTTTAAATATTCTACATTTAGTTGTTGTGTGATGAAGCCCAGCTGTTTTTTTTTTTTTTTTTTTTTTTTTTCTTTTTCTGCCTTCCCTCCATCCCTGCTCCCTAGCAGCGAAATTCATCTCCTTTCTTTGGGAAAAAGAGCAGTTTTAGAAAACCTACTCCTTGTTTCTTTCCTGTGTTCCCTTTCTTACTTGTGGAACCTGGCCTTCTTTTGAATCTGTCTTTTTTCCTGTTGATGCAGCATTATCTGTGACGTTGTCTCTGTCCGTTTCCTGCAGAGGTTTCACTAGTCTCCTGCCCAGGTGCCTGGGGGAAGTCCTTTCATCTCTTTCCAGCTGATGACACTGGAATGGCATATGAGGGTTTGTTGGCTGGCTGTTCAGAGAAAACAGACAGCTGAGGCTGCATGGATGTCATCAAGAAAAGTTTAAATATTTCTAAAATAACAGAATGAATGTCTGTTAATATTTCCGTAGTTTCTGTTGCTGAGCTTTATAGTTCAAAGCTAATTTTGACTTCTGCAAAAAAGCATTCCTCTACCCAGAAATGATTTCTGGGTGTCCCTTCCACCTGTCTTACTGGGCACCCTCCCAATAATGTCAGAATATCTGCTCCAACCCTCATCAATTTAAAGTTGTCTCTCTGCCTCTAACTTGCCCAATGGCATTGCATCCTTTTTCTTAGAACAGGAAATAACCTGTTGTCACTTGTGGTCTTCTAGGCGCTCAGCATTTTTGCTTCCTGGGCCACTCCAGCATGTCTCTTGGTTGCTTGGTGTGAGAAATATTTTGAGAGAGGATGAATCAAAGTGGAATATTTTTGCTGATACTTTCCTGAGCTAACAGGTTGCAGTGCTCCCTGGCTCAATGAGAGGAGATGGTTTGCTACTTTGTACTTAACATTAATCCTCTTTGTTTTATATTCAGATTCTGCTAGGGATTTGGCAGAGTGGAGATAAAACTAGTTATCAATTAGTAAATAAAGGAGAGTTAGAGCTGGGCGTGATGGTACATGATTGCAATCCACTACAAGGCTGAGGCAGGAGGATTGCAAATTCAAGACCAGCCTGGGCAACCTACTGAAGCCCTGTCACAAAATAAAAAATAAAATAAAATAAAGAGCTGGTGGTTTAGCTCAGTGGTAGAGTGCTGGGGTTTAAAGGCCTTGGGTTCAATCCCAGTATGGCAAGAAAAAGGAGATTAGGAGATGGATTTAATTTCTGGAGTGATCCTATTGTTAAATCAACATCAGTGTTCCAGTTAGCCAAATGTAAATTTTATTTATTTAATTAATTTAATTTTTATTGTATTTCTCATTTGAGTGTCCAAGGTTTTAAAACATGCTTTTTGATTTTTACTTTTTAAAATTACCATTTCTCTATGGTTCTTATGTTCCTTTTTGGTGGCACATGGAAACAAGGCTGGAGTTAGAAGTATCTATCCTGAATTAAGGTAGCATAATGCCCTGATGTGTTGTTTCATCTTGTAGAGAGTGGGGGATGGTGTTAATTTGGTTGTGAAAGGTGAAAAAGAACTCCAGAATGAGTCAATCCCCATGTGAGTTACAGTGATATGTTTCTCTCCACCCCTAGTTGCAACGGGGTCCTCTTTATTGAGTGTTGTGGTGGGAGGGGATGCATTATAAATCCATCACAGAGTGGCAGAAAGTGCTCATAGGGCCTTCTGCAGTGGAGGAAACCTGCATAATTGCCGTGTGTAGATGTACATTTTTATGGTTTTAGTGAGGGCTTTCAGTTCCTAAGACAGCATTGTCCAGAAGAATTTCTGGGTTGGTGGCACTCCAATACATGTGTGTGCCCTGCCTACATACGGCTACTGTGCATGCACAGTGTGGCCGGTGCTGCTGAGGACTGCGCTTTATGTTTCAGTTTGCTTTTTGGTGTTGCTTTTCAGGGCTGGGGATTGAACTCAGGGCCTCAAGCATGCTAGACAAGTGCTCTGCTACTGAGCCACATCCCTAGCCCTCATTTAGTTTTGATTAATTTAAATTTCGTTGGCCATATGGTGCAGCTGTGATAGAAAGCATAGTTCCACAGCATTGAAAGAATATTTTTGGTTTTATTTCATTTAGAACAGCCAATCCTACAGTAAAGAATAGTGCTGCTGTATAGTCTAGTTTAGAAGTAAATCTAGTGCTTAATGAGTCAGGTGCTGTGGTTTTAACTTTTTAATGAGCTTTTTTCAAAAACACAGACAGTGGTTATTGTATAGGGGTTTAATAAGTCAGTGTTTGGGACAGGAGAGCAGGAAATAACTGTCAGCTTCTGGCTCAGGCTGGCAGAGGTGACAGGCTCGGAGTTGGCAGTCTGTGGGCATGGACGTGTCTTCACAGCCAAAATGTGTATCATGGAGTAATCTGTGAATACTCCTGAAGGGACCATTCATTTCCAGAAATTTATTCTAACAAAGGGTGCGGTCATATCAGTGAGACCTGAACGTGTACCAGATGCTTCTCAGAAGAGGGACAAGTATATTCCTGATCTGTCAGTCACATAGTATGACAGCTGTGAACAGGGAAGTCAGCCACACGGCAATTAAACAACCAAGACAACAGTGTAAATTGGATGACCACAGTATGAAAAAATGTTGTAAGTTGACATATGCATAAAAATGGAAGGAAGTGCCCTGGGCTGTACAAAGGGTGTTACCTTGGAGTCCTGGAATGGTGGGGAAGGTCTTACCTTCCTAGTGATTCCTTTAGTATCGCTACATTGCTGTTATTTGTGAAAATGAGACTGTGTTGCTTATTCAGTCAGGAAAGAAAACAGATTTCCAGACAGAGAAGAAACACGTGTGAAATGGACAGGTGGACAAATATTGGATGGATTTTGAACACATCTTTTTAGTAACTGGAGATAAATAGAGGGAATGACAGGACTGTGTTGGCTTTAGTGTGATGACCAGTACTCAATCCAGATCTGAGATCAAGCCCCAGGCGTATGAATGGAGGGACATCACCTAAGAGCTAAATGTGGGGACAGAAATATGGCACAATCTCTGCCTCACCCCACCCTCATGAGCTGGAAGGTGATATGGTGGCACTGTGGGAGACAGAGAAGTTCTGATGTATAGGGGAGATGGAGCCCTGGGAGGAGGAGCCGTAGGAGATGATGAGCCAGGAGGTAGATGTGTGAAAAGAGGCACTATAGGAAGTGATGAGCTGGGTGTGGGGGTCAGGAAGAACTCATCATCCTAGCCAGGGCAGGGTTTGCCTGGTGAGGAGGTGGAGCCAGCAGAGGGCTGGGAGGTGTCAAGCTGAGTGAGGGGCATTGAGAAGCAGGATATGGCAGACATCCCTGAGGTGAGTGGCTTTGGGGCACCCTGGCTTGGGGGTGGCTGGCCTGCTGCTTGGGAGCACAGTCATGTGGCCCATGCAGATGTGCAATACATACACAGGAAGATTAGCACTAATGATGATGGAGAAACATGTTTTTCAGTGCAGTGGAAAGTCAGAGAAGGATTTGCAGGGTTGGTTGGTCCCACAAGATGCCCGGTCTGCTCATTCAACAGTGGACTTTCTTGGGGAGTGTGGACACAGATGACTTATGATGCCCAGACCTTTGAAGGATTTGGTCCTGATTAATCTTTTCCTACTCTTAGCTACAGCTGTGCAGGTGTTGGTTGGGTTTGCAAGCCCAATGCCATGGGACAGCAGTGAGCTGATTTGGGAGATCTTTCCAGGCCAGTGACCCCAAGATGGGAGTTTGCAGATGGGAAGTGAGCCCACAGCCTGGAGTCCCAGCTCCGAAGGCCCCACTGTGCCATTTTCATTGCAGAGAATATAGGTGGGAGACCAGTTTTTTTTGAAACTAGCAGGAGCTTAACTGTTGAACCTGTAAGGGACCTCTGACTTTCAGGGGGACTGCTGGAGGCATTTGGGGATAGTGTCGGAGTGGAGAAGTCTGAATGGGGGGCAGGACCCTTGGAGCTGTGAGTTTGGAACTGTGGCCGGAACCTGGGAGTGTGAGATGGCCTGAGTGGCTAGAGCCTCAGGGGTGGGAAGGCAAAAGGAAGGGGCCAGACAGGAGCAGTCAGGAGCTGGAGAAGAGCTGAGGGAATCCAGGATCAGGGAAGCCCCAGAAAAAGGGCCTAGTCACCTGTGTTATATGTTGCTTGGTGTGAACTTGCCTCCACAACTTGACTTCTATCAAGAGGTGGTTTTGCACTGTGGGGATGTGTCTTAGTCTTTGTGGCTGTAACTATCCACAATGGAAGAAACACACAAGCATATTTTAAGTTCATTAGGTCAGAACTGTTGGCTTTTGATAAGAAAATTTTAGAGGCGGTTTCATGTGACTAGAGACATGGGTTCCCTTCATGTGTAGAACGTGAAAGGTTTTCAAATTATGATCAAATAC